TGTTTTCCATTTGCGGGAAAATTAATTTAATAAGACCTACATGTAAAGATAATCAATCTTTGTTTTAGTGTTGGAGAAATAGTCCCCCTGCTCATGTTATATTGATTTTATTCCCACTCTTGGTGGAGGGTTCCTTCATTTTCAATCATCTTTCCATCTATTTCAAGTTAGTTGCCTAGATCTCGACTTAACGGGGTTGGATTCTGCAGCATGTAGCAAGTTTGAGGCGTCAACGTGTCACTAGTTTCTTTTACAGTTTAGCTGAATTAAGTAAAAGCCATATTTTGCCAAGTCTTTTCTCCCCCAGCCTTCACTCAGGTAATTGGTCATTTTGCAGCCAATTTCAGGCAGGTTGGATGCTTGCTGCCATGGCCTGACCCCTGCTGCTGCTGTAATGGGGACAGCATTTCTACCAGTTCAGCTGGGGGCTCTTCCACTCTGTGACCCCACAGCTCTCTTGTGAAGGGAGAGAGAGCGGCTCTGAACACTGACAGAAGAAAAAAAAAAGGTGAGATATGACTTCTGTAGTGACCAACTTTGTGCTTTTATTAAACTTATGATAATTATAGAGCCTGTCTTCTCATTACCACATGACTTTTTTCAGTTAGAGATTACATTTGCATGAAACAGGGTTCAAATATTCCAGGTATGAACTTGTAATATTTCAAAAGTGAGAGATTCTGACTCACAAGGAGGAAATCTGATGAGGAAAAATTATTCAAACACAGAAGAAAGAAAGGCATATGTGTATATTATTATACTGCTTTAATGGACACTCTTTTTCAGGAATCAGTGAAAGTCTTCTTTAGAGCAACAAGTCCAGTTTGAAGTCCAGAGGTGCATTTGGTCAGTAATCCCCAAACCATGTGAGTCAATACCTAAAAACAACAACAACAAAAAACAAAAACATTGTTATCATATAAACATTTTTTAAATGTGACACATTTTCATCCTTCCTTTATTCAGTTATTTAAAATTTTTTAAATACAAATAAAAAATCTGGCTGACAACAATGTTAGAAAATTACCCTTTATAGTAAATTAAACATAAAATTTATACAACCCAGTAAAAACTGGAGAGTTGAGCAACAACAACTACAACTACAACAAAACTACATTTAAGCCCACTGACTGGTCTTTTAATTAACAAAAAGGCTATTTATGTTGAATAGTTTTGTAAGCACTCAGTTATCATGGTGACGTCCATGTTTGAACCTTTATTTATTGTACACATTAATAACTGAAAAGGCCTTTAAAAAAACACATGGGTTGTATAATTTGATTGCAGACCTGACTTGAAGGCAATAAAACAATCTGATATCAGCAGCTATGAATGCTTTTAAAACACGAGAAGTTAGTGTGAGACTGTGAAGGTGATTTTACATGTTTTAAAAAAGCTTCCTCTGTATTTTCTGAAAACTATCAAACTTTAAATCCTTTTATTTCTCCCTCCTGACCCTCAGAACAATGCAGTCAATTCACCATCTTTACATTCTTCCTCCCCATGTACCTTGACTTTTTTTTGTTGACACATAATCCAGTAAACAAAATCAATTAATATTTTGATGCCACACTGAACACAAAGATAGACACCGAATCCTGTTAATTGTAGTGCATCCAGTGTTGAGTTCATTGATGCTGCAAAATTACAGGAAGGCAGCGAGCAGCAACAGCAGAGAGGAAGCAGAACAAAAGGCAATTTTTACTTGTTTTTCCTGTGCTTAAAACACTGAATACACTTTTATATAGTGTGTCATTTCTAAGGAAAGTCACTTACTAAATTATGTTTACATTTATAGATGAGAGGCTGTGGTCAGTGTTTGCACACTGGGCCCTCTCTGGATTCAGAAAGTTAAGCAACTAGTTTGAAGAGCTTGAGGCCAGCCTATTGGGATTATTATCATTTTAAATATTTTATTGTGAATTTATTCATGTATTATTTTGAGAGTATATGAAACCACGTTAGATGCAGAGTGTGTGCAAAATTGATTTGAATTTTATTTGCAGCAGAAAATCTTATCAAATCAAATCCAATCGTAAGGGGTAAAAATAAAAGTGTAAAGGAAATGAAGTGCATTATAAATGGCAGCTATTTTCCATTTATAATGCAGTTGTGCACAAAACCGTTTCTTGAACCTCCATTGAAAATAATTGATCATACTTGCAGACCATGCAGTCTGCGCATGGAGCTGTGCCTCCACCCAGCACGGACGCACAGTTTACCAATGCACCGCGGTTTAGATAATATTCGGTGGCTGTGAAAATGTGGGTTGGCATGTCAGCTGAGGAGGGCTTTCTATCACCGGACTGAAATGAAGTCCGTGACTTCTTGGCCCGTTTACCCCTCGGCCCCCCCTCTCTCTTTTTTTCTGTCTCTCCACCTCTGCACTCGCCCTCAGGTGAAGAGCAGCAGGTGTTAAAACACCCTCAGCCACAGAGCTACTCACTCCTAATGAGCCTGCCTCCGCGCTCCATCCATGCATGGAGGACTTTATTTTTAGTGTTGGGCTGGTTAGAGCCGTGCTGCAGGAAGGTGGACCACTGTGGCCTTCGCTGCCCTCCTGCAGGAGTCAGATTATAAATTAAAGTGGTAATATTATCGCACTCCCGCTCGCTTAATGTCCCTGAGGATGGCTTGAGAAAATCCCTCACATAAATACTTAATGGTTCAGCTTGTGCGCAGATCAACACGTTGTAAATGTTTGATTGTGCTAAAGTTATTAATAAAATGATTTATGCAGCGTGCATAAGTCTACTCAGCTCTAAATTACATTTACTTCAAATAAAAGCCTGTAATTATTATTGCTACTATTTGAGGAACACTCGTGGTGTTATTTTACATTTTTCTGCCTCTATTCTGTTAATGGTTTTGCTCACAGCCGCGTGGCAGTTTGCAGATACTATAATCGTGGGAAAATAATGACAGTTATCAGTCGCACCCACCAAGTACCCATAAAAATCTGTCCTCTGTTCTGGAAGATGATAATTATTGGTTGTACTGCCATTATCATTGTCGTTGTTGATAGAGGAAATCTTGAAGCATTTTTCGAAAGTAATTCCGGAGAAATCACTTCAAATTGGCCTATTTCAGGGGGACAAGGGACCAGCTTTTTCGTTATAGCCTAATATTTCACAGAAATCTTTAAATCCAGCCATCCGCAGCCGCCTGGCACACTGTGGCGCACGTGCCGTGATGTCAGCGCCCGCATTTTTTGATACCACATTTTTGCAACTTGCTAGTTCTGTTTTGAGTTCAATTATGTAATTACACTGATAATCAGAGTGAGGGAATTTAACTGCCTTTAATTTGTTATTCAGGTGGAGATGGAGGGACTGCGGATGGAGCAGCAGCAGCCGGTCTGTGTTTCTGCTCCGCACAGACACCAGAAGAAGAGCTGCAGCCTGCAAATGAAGCATAATGAAATGAGGACTTTCTGGAGACTTTCCTCTTCCACTACTTCTACTACTACTACTACTACTTTCATCATCACGTGCATCCTGCTGTGGATTTCTGACCCTGGATGATCTGCTTCTTTTATATCACCTGATTTTCAAAGTAAGTGCACTGGCATTGTTTTAGCTGTTTATAGAATAAATCCATCTCTCTCTTTTAAATGCACCCTGGTTGGACTTTACGCACGGCTACATCGGTGGTCCTGTTTGAGCTCTGAAAGAAATAGGCTATCTCCTGTGTTTAGTCAGTCGTCAGTTCAATGAAATCAAATGTCCGTGGATAATTGTTCCTGTTGGGCTGTGGGAGGCCGGCCGCACCCCCATCCTCACTCAGGTTCATGCTAAATCAAAGGTGCCATTTTTTACACCACTGTGGCTTTTAATTGATTGCGAAAGAAGGTGCGTAGGGTTGTTGGAAAGCATTTAAATATCATAAGATGACAGGCCTGTGTGAATTCATAGATGTGTTATGGGGTAAAATAGACAACAATGTGAAAACTGTGATTTAAAATGAACAATACACATCACAATGTTTTATTTTTAGGGTTGGAATGATGTTTGATTTCATTTTGAGTAGTTTTAAGCTGCACAAAAATGACATTAATAATCCTTTTTTTGCTTGATTAAATTGCTTCATCTTTGTGTTGACTTTATGATTTTGTTGTGTGTTTTTTTCAGGTGTTATAAAACATCATTAAACCGACACCTGAGCCAGCAAACCTTATTTGACATCAGAGCAGAAACTGTTTCACCGTCCTCCCTGCTGCCAGGTGTAACTGAGACCTCAAGCCACTGTAAGTGTTAAATACATGACTAATTACAGAGCTACTTATGAAAATTGAACACTAGTGTTATGCAAATACACCTTGCTTCGGATAGAGCTTTAATCATAAAAAGCTTTAATCAAACTGGAAAGTGCAGAGAGGGCAGCTTTAACGAGGCTGCAAATATTATTTAGCATTATTAAATAACGTTTAGGTGGAGATATGACAGGCGGTACCTTTAATAATTCTAATAATGACATAAAATATAATAATAATATCATTTTAATTATTATAGCAGTGAAATTCTTTCAATTTTACAGTTTTCTAAAAGAAAATGATGCCAAAACAAAGATGCCATCAGCTAATAATCTCTGTATTTTTCTATATTTAGTGTCCAAAATAGGTGTAGTATTTTTATTTTAATAAAAATATACGTAATCGTGAATCTTGACGTGTCAGGAGGAAATATTGTGGTTTTGTGGTTTTCCTTGACTTTATCAGCTTCTTCGGACCCAGCCCCAGCGTCGCCAATCGGCTTCCCTCTTGGAGCGAGTGGACCAATCAGCGACCGTCTTCGATGAATATTCATGAGTCCGAGATTCAAACCTTTGAGCGAGTTTGTCTTGGTCCACAGCATCATACCTGGGACTTTTCACAGGCACAAACTACATTTTCTTATGAATGGAAAGAGAAAAAATCAGTTCGGCTTAAATTGGGACCCATCCTTCACTGAGATCATAGAAGGAAAACAACAAAAGCGAGACAAGGGGGACCGCGAGAAGAGATGACAATGACTACAATCCCAGAAAGTCTTAATAGCCCTGCCTCAGGAAAAACCGTTTTCATGGAGTTTGGACCCCCGAGTCAGCAAATGTCGCCGTCCTCCATGTCTCACGGACACTATCCCATGCATTGTTTACATTCTGCAGGTCATACCCAGCACGACAGCTACAGCCCAGCCTCGTCGTTCCCCAGATCTTTGGGCTACCCATACGTCAACTCGGTCGGCAGCCATTCCACCAGTCCATATCTGAGCACAGTACAGAGCTACCAAAACAGTTCGGCGTTATCACAGACGCGGTTAGAGGACGCAGGTAAGCGTGCTACAACATCTTTGGATCTAAAATATCCTCTTTCTGTGTTGGCATCCCTGTGTAATGTTTACAGCCCTCACTGCAGCGAAAAGACGAGCCAGATGTTGGAATTAGGCTAGGTAATTATTTATTGCGTAACGCTATAAACAATGTATGCAATTAAGGGTAATTATACCTAAAGTACAGCCTGTAAAACTTGCGCTGGAGTATTCATAGCTGTGCTGCACTGTTGGCTACATCAGCCTCCTCATTTTCTAACCCTCTCTCTTCGCTCCTTTTTCTCTCCCTCAGCGCCAGAAACAGAGAAAAACACAGTGGTGGAAGGAGGAGAGGTTCGGTTCAACGGAAAAGGGAAAAAGATTAGAAAACCAAGGACTATTTATTCGAGTTTACAGCTTCAGGCTCTGAACAGGAGATTCCAACAAACCCAATATCTGGCGTTACCGGAGAGAGCTGAGCTTGCAGCGTCGCTGGGTCTCACTCAGACACAGGCAAGTCCTACCACAGATCAGCACCAACAGCATCACTACAGAGGCAACATTTTCACACATAAAAATGCAATTAGACTAAATCTTTTATTATAACAATAATCTCTGTTTTTAGACAATTCATATGGCTCTCTTTTTATCACACACTTGTACAAATTCCATGAGTGATATGTCATTCCTGTTAAAATAAAAAATGACATGTTGAGGTTCACGGTATACTGATTTCGTTGCTCTCGGCATTGCCTACTGCGTGCGTAAAGTGTGCGTAAATGTGCCAAGATATTTTAGAGCCATTGTTTCATCCATTATGATAAATCCCTTTTCATTTTCTTATCCAAATAATTGTATTTTTCTCCTCAGGTGAAGATTTGGTTTCAAAATAAACGCTCCAAATTTAAGAAATTGATGAAGCAAGGCGGAGGAACAATTGACACAAACGCTTTGGCCACCGGCCGCGGACTGTCGAGCGGGTCTCCCTCGGTGGCACCTGTCTGGAGCTCACCGGCCACCGTGAAGACTTCAGTGGGATCGACTGGATCTTACATCCCCAGCTACACCTCGTGGTACCCCACTACACACACACCAAGAGTCTATGCAACAGTCACAGCTCATGTGAACATACACCTCAGACCTCCACTCTGCCATGGCTCGTGGATCTGAATGTCTAGGGGGCCTATAGCCGCTCCACGCGGCCCGGCATTGATAATACACAACAACTACAACAACAACAACAGCTACCCCGGAGTCTGCTGCCGCGTGCGGCCAGCTGACAAAGCTGCCTCCTCACACAGGAAGGAGCGAAGAAGAAGGGAATGAAAGACTAATAGTGTGCGCTAAGCGCCTAAGGGCAACGATTCCCTGACAGCGAGCGGAAATTGTAGACAAATGGATCCTTTTTTTTGGCTGCTGTTTATCACTGTTGTGTCCGTTTCCATTTTTTAAATCATATTTGTGTGAGTTATTCCGTTTGTAAGAAAAAAACACGTGTTTGTTTACAACAGATGTTGGGCCGAAGCTGATACAAAAACAATCTGCATTTATCAATAGTTTAAGTGAACCAGGCCTTTAAGGTGTTTTTTAAAAACCAAATATTGATCATGAACTAAATTGACCACCAACAACAGGCCATTATATGCTTACAGCACATTCAACCACAGTATACTAAAGTCACAAATGTTTTTTTATTTTCCTCTCTGTGTTTGTTATTTAAGTTAAATTATTGGGACATGTCGAGGTCTGCCTGTGTTCATTTTGTGTGTGTGTGTGTGTTTGAAACAACAACACTGTGTTGTTCCTGCTGCACTAACGCAAGCAAAGCTTTTCTATGCCGTGCCCCCATGTTATGTGAAAAATGTAAACGGCCTGACAATTTTGCTGCTTTGAAAGAAAAAAAAATGTTATAGCAGCTGATTTTGTCACTGTACTTTGTACATAATTTGCAGATTTGTTTTTGTGCTGTACTGGATACGCTGTGAAACAGGGTTTAGGCTTTCTGTATTCGTCGAGATGTGTTTTAGTCCACATAGAAAATATTTAGTTTTGTATTGATTACTTTAATTTATTGATCTGTTTCTGAAAGTTTATGTACAGAATGTGCAAAGTTTCAAAAGCAGTAAAATGATTTAAATTATGTCAAGAAAGGTGTCTGATTGAAATCCACCACCCTTCCTCTACTTCCAAACTCCTTCACACACACACACCCTCCTCCTCCTCCTCTTCCTCCCCGCGCGTGAAAAGAAAGACTTCAGCGTGGTGCAGCTTTAATGGGAGCTGACACAAAGCGGTATCATGTCGGTTATTGTAGCAGACACCACGTGAGGGTGAGCGGCGAGAGGCTCGTCGTTTTGGATTTATGGTCTTGTTTAGCGTTTAGCGTTCATTGGGCTGCTGCTGCTGCAGATGTTGCCAAACCCCTGAAGTGACCTCATAAATTAGAAATATGACGTTAGGCTTGTGCAAGACTCCTAATGCATCTTTTTACATGTGCATGAACATTTTAAAACGTCATATCCTCGTGTTTTATTTTATCAGTGATTTAACCAAGGCGCACGGGAGAGCAAGATTCATTCAACAACCTCGCTTCCTTACTTCTACTTCTCAGCCTTTCTCAAAGATAATCGTCTTCCTATTTGTCCTCCCACAATCCCCATTTCTCCGCCGTGAATGGGAGAGATCAACTAGGCTGTGTGTGTGTATGTGTGTGTGTGTGTGTGTTAAGTGAATAATTGCGCACGAGGCAGGTGCTGCAGAAAAGACTGGATGAGCACTTGAAGCGGCTCGGATCAGCTGGAGATCAGAGAAAGTGAAAAGTTCAAAAGCTTTCTTCTTTGGGGTTAACACTTTAGTCCTCTGCTGTTCCGCGGTCGGCTTTAAGCTCGGATCTAAAAGTGTTAAAATTCAACTTGTTTAATGAAATTTAAAAAAACCTCAAAACGTATTTTGTAACTAAATTGATCCTTTTTTTTTTAAATGCATGAGAAAAACTTGTCTGCACTCTTGACAGGTGGCCTCAGGAGTGCAGATAACAAATTATCTTTAATGTACAAATCAAATTGTTAATAATAATTAGAATGGTAGAACAAGGCCAAATAAAAAACAATAAGCAGAAAAAAATCAACTTAAAATCAGAATTAAATCCCCTTTGCCCCTGACTCTTATTTAGTAGAACATGAAAGAAGAAAAAATAATTCTAGTGCAAATGTGTGCGCTCCTGTAAATGCAATTTATGTATACAAAGTTGAATATTTTGTAATTACAAAAAAAAAGATGCCGTCTTATCAATCTCTCCAATAATATTTTTCCAAAGATGTTTAAAGACAACAAAATTCCCCCCATAAATCTGCTTGTTGATTTATTTGTCCTCTGCTCAAAATGTGCATTATCCAACAGAGAAAATCTGACCACCGTAACAGTTTATTTTTTTAAGTAATGAGTCTGACCCACTTTTGTTCCTACAGCTTGCAACAACTGCATCATACTTGAAATCAGCTCCTGTCCTAGTTTACATTGTGTCCCCCCTTCCATCCTCATCATGAAGCTCCAGCCTCCATTGTTGTCTTAATACAAACATAGGCTCCACGGCCCTTTGTGATCAAGCCTTTACGTTGCGTAAAGTAGCTGCTATGTATATTTCGATAGCATTAAGAAGTCATATGAATTGAGCTGCCGCTGTTCCAACGAGAATAAATGTGCCTACCTAAGCCTTAGAAAGGCGCAGCTGCACATCCAAGAGGGTCAGTGTTATTTCGCTGTATTCTCCCCTTGATTATACGAACTGAGCCCATCAAACTCAGCATAATTACAGTAATTTCGCCCTTATTTATTCTAATGCAGTTTCCTATCTCTGAGGTAATTATGAGCCTTTTTCACACGGAGGATCTTTCTGCCTTCACAAAGGAGATAGTGCTCTGAAAGAAAATTTGCTGCAGTAAAAGAAGGAGAGAGAGGGGGGAAAAAAATAAGCGAAATAGGTGAGCTGCCATTTCGTCACTGTTCCCTCAGATTTGGACTTATGTATAAGGCTGGCAAATTGCTTGCAGGTGTACACCACATCACGGAGTTCTGTCAATGCGGAGAAGAGGCTTCAAAATTAGCAGAGCACAATAAGAGTAATGAGAGCACAGGCTGGATTAAAGAACATTTTGTGTGTCTGCTTTTCCTTACATTTCCTATCGGTGTGTGCAGCTTCTCAGCTATAAGACTCCCTTTCCTCTATTAGACAAACTGGAGACTTATTTTGAACTAATGTTACAGAGAAAAATATGACTTTAAGGAGACTTTCTTTGAGGATTTATGTCGGTAACATGTAGTCTAATGATCTGGCATGAAGATAGAGGAAAAAAAGCATTAAGCATGTCTTATATTCCTGGTTTAAAATCCTCTGAAAAGATATTTTAATCGTTACGCTCCTTTCAATAAACATTAAAGCGATCAAAAATAGCAAAACCCACCTTTTAAACTTGGATGTAAAGAAGCAAATCTCCTTCTTCTATTCCCAGAAAGCTGCATGCAGCCAGATGAGCAGCAGCATCCTGCAGCACAGCCCCAAACCGAGCGCTTAAATCCCACAAAATGTGTCCCATGTGTCGGTGAAAGCTTTAGCAGCAGCAGAGTTCAGAATATGACTGAAAATGTCTGCTTTATTTCCCCTCTTTATAGCTGATAGCGGAGAAAAAATGTAGATTATTAGCATAAATGTTTACTCCTCATTACGCTGATGACATTGTGCACTCGAGATCTTGGTAATCTTTGGGGGGAAATTATGAGTAATTTTTTAAAATTTAAAGCAGCAGTTACCATGCAATTCAGGCTAATTCTGCGTAGGCTCCACACGGATATAATTATCGTTGAGTCAAGATGTTAGGCTAAAAACTATGCATTGATATTCCCATTTATTATGTACATGCGACTTTGACAATGTTGATGCTTGAAATAGCGGGAAATTGTCTTGTGTAAAAAATAACACCCCATATTAGGACATCTAAAATTGCGAAGAATTATATAGTAATTGCAGGCTTTCAGATTTGAAAGCCGGAATGCTCAAACCGAAGCAAATGTGGATGAAATTACAGATCAGGGTATAAATTAGGATAGGGGGTATGGCATTTACAAGTTGTCTGGAAAAATGCTAAAGTATAAAACCACAGCAACACTAATCTGTGGTGGAAATCACGTGGAGCAACAAAAATGTGTCAGACTTTATTTTTTTTCCAGAAGAAAGAATAAATTCTCTTAAACATTTTGAGTCCAAAGAAAACACCTGAGAGAAACAGCTGATACTGTGTTGTGTTATACATTCACCTACACTTTTTGCACAATATTAAGTTTTACAAAGTGGCATAAATGCAGGCTGTATGTGCCTGTATAGCTTACATAGATATAATAATTCTGTTGCATGTCAGGGATCTTATCTTGTCAGCTCCAGGGAGGAGGCTCAATCGTGGAGATATGGCAACCGCTGACAAGCTACAGTCCTAATTATGTACAAGGAAACGATCCCACTTTATGGCTCGTGGTCGTTTGAAGGGAAGCGTGTGGGACAGACAGAGATAATCATGACTGTGTAGGCTACTAATAATACCCCCACCCCCATCTGTCTATTTATCAATAGGAGTCAAAATAATCCTAAAATACTGCGAGATAAAACTAATCAGAATTTTTTTTTCCCCTGCAATAAATATCATACTATGATGAGTAATTTTTTGACGTGTGCATGTGTTTTCCATGTAGCCTACAGGCCCCACACGAGCCTCATAAATAATGTAGGTCAGTCTGCTCGTCTTCAGAGATCAGAGGCTCAGTTTGTGAGACGTGAGAAATGTTTCCATGCAGTTCTGGCTTCAGGCTGTCTTGGACCCAGTAACACTCTTTTTCTCTTGTTAGGCCGAGTTCATAAAACGTCTGGAAGGCGGCTCACTGACTCCACAAAGTCTGAGAAGCTTATGAACACCCAAAGCCATCCTTCCTCGTCCTCCGCTCTTGCATGCCAAGGCGTGTTGCTGTGTTGCCGCACCCTCCGCTGAGCCTGCCAGTCAGAGCCCCGGGCTGCTGTGTCTGCCTGCCTGCCCCCGCTAGCTTGGTGCGGCTAACAGTCTCTTGTAAAATGAATCTAAACCGGGGTAGTTTCGAAATTATCTTGTGGTCTCCCTCGTTCACGAAGACGCACAAATTCCTTGTTAACTATCAACAATATGCTTTTAGCCGAAGAAAAGCTTTTTTTAAAAAGAGCAATGTTGCCAAGACGTGAAACTTGGTTCACGGCTTATGGTAGAACTCACTAGCTGTTGCCGGGCAACACGGCCATAGATTAGCCTAAGGAGCTAAGCTATTTTTTCTGTTGCTCTTAAGAGTGTGTTAAACTTTTTATTATAAAAATAAATTATACAATGTTCTGTCATTACAAATTAAATATTATATTATGTAAAAATATTACAACTCTATCCCAGTGGTTTGGGCTAATTTCAATAATGTCAAAGTTACATTAGCAGGTTACCTTGTAAACATCCTGTTTTGACATTAAATTAAACAATTTCAGCAGCAACAAAAAGCATGTCAAAATCACAATTCCTTCCTTTTTATTTTAAAGTATACAAATCTAAGTTTTTTTTTAAATCAAAATAAGTGAGAAAACATCCTTTCATTGTAATTTCACTTAAGCTATGCGCACAAATAACAATTTTACAAAGGAAATAGGAACCCAATATGCACAGAAAACAACTTTTATTTAAATAACGTCTTGCCATAGGCTATATGGATCACTGCTAAAATAAATAAGACAAAAATACAACCAAATGTGATACAGAAAATCAGAGGCTGGAACAATCAGTAGCTCACGGTGGATTATTATGGATCTGCACTCATAGCCTAGAAAAATAAAAATCGAAGAAACGTGGGCTGACAAAAAAAAAAGCTGTGGTGAAATATTTACAAATGTGGATTCAGACACTTACCCATCAGTTTATTCAACTCAACTAATGACATGGGATGGATAAACGTTTCAACGCACAACAATGAGGTCATATTGAAAAAGGCACGATACAGTTAACTTGTGCTACATTTGTGACAGGTTGTCCTGCGGTGAACATTTGATGCGCAGGGATGGCAAAAAAGTGACGTCCGCGTAAAAGCAGGCTTGCGCCCAGGCTGTGATTGCTTTGGGTAATAGTGGTTCATACATCCCTCGACATAGACAAAATAAATAAATACAAAAATAACTGTAAAAATCTGATCTGTCTAGCATTTGCGAAAACTGGCAAGGTCCATGAACCTGTCTGGCTCCATTAACTTCTCTTTAGATGCCTCTGCGTAAAGTTCGCATGGCGCACACACGAGGTCTGCAAAATAAAGGTATTGGCATTTCTCATTTCTTCACCAGTATTGTCCGATTTGAACCCGATATTTTTGTTTGTTTGTTTGTTTTTTTTTTAGTTTTTTTTTTTGTATTTCAGAATATCGTCCCAGCGCTTATGGCGGAGTTGTGGTGGTGCTGGACCAGAGGAGGCTGCAGATGCGTGGTAGAGTTCGTGGTTGAGTACCAGGAGTAGTTTGCCAAAAACGATGTGGGCGCAGCCGTGTTGGGAGGGCTGCTACTCTGAGGTAAACTGGAGTTGACACTGTTCATTCTTTGAGTCTGTGGAAAGTCCCAGGCAGTAGTTGGGGGAGACGTGCAGGGGGGAGATTCACTGGAAGCAACATGTTGCTCTGGGGGGATTTCTCCACTTTTCCACAACTTCTTGAACTTGGAGCGGCGGTTTTGGAACCAGATTTTTACCTGTCAGAAAAATTAGATGCAAGTCACATATTAATGAATCAATATTTTGCAGCTCCGACTCACATTTCAAGGATTGTTTTTCTTTTCCTATTAGACATGAAGTTGCGATTTGACAGAGAATAAATCAGTGTTTTTGATGTACCCACCTGTGTTTGAGTAAGGCCCAGTGAAGCTGCCAGCTCGGCCCGTTCTGGTAGAGCCAAATACTGCGTCTTTTGAAACCTCCGTTGAAGTGCTGCCAGCTGAAAACTGGAATAAATGGTTCGAGGTTTCCTGACCTTCTTTGGTTTTCCATTTACCATCCGGATTTCTGGTTCACTCTCTTCTTTCTCTGCAAGGACATTCAAGCCTTCAATATTCAATAACATAGAATCTATTCATGCATGAGAGATATTGCCTATTCCTTATTTGCCTTGAATTATTACGCATGCAGCACTTTTTTGTTAAACATGTTTTAGCATAATAATAAATAATATTCTGTTGATATATCACAGAAAGTTGTTTTAACAATAAAGCACTGTGTTTTTTTTTTTTTCAGTTCACAAATGTACATTACATGTGTCTTATCAATTCTTACCACATGGTTGTTTTGTGTAACACATGATTCGTTGTCTTTTACATTTCATTTCAGAGAAATAGATTGGAAATCAATCTCAAAAGATGATAGTTATCAGTAAATAAATCAATAACTTCCTTACCTGTATCTGCCGGAGTAGGAGAGGGGTTGGAGCCGTAGGAGCTATATGCACCATAAGTCGAGTTGAAACCGAGGTCGTAAGACTTGGCATTGTATGGCACAGTACTCGTGGTGCTGCCATGGTACTGATACGAGCCGAGTGGACCAAAAGGAGACCCTGCGCAGTGGCCCGGCTGTTGGCTGTTGTAGTAGCTGCTGTCCGTGGCCGTGGACACTGGTAGAGTCGGCGACTCCTGCGACTTGTGCAAGCTGTGGTAATTGCTTGAGGTAATCTGGTTGGAATGCATATCAGTATTTAAGTTCTCAAAAACCCCAGTCATATTCGATTTTGGAGCGGAGGAGCCTCGTAACCTATGCGCAAAAGTCGAAAAAATGCGAAACTGCAAGCTGCAAAAATGACTCGGGTCTTGGACTGATAACACCGTTTTGAGAATCGAAACGCATCCCCGGGTAAAGTGAGGCAAAATGAGCAGAAGGTGTGTCCCCCTCACAGTGGCCTGTGATTATCTGCTACGGTCGGTGGTGGGAGCGCATTTATGAGAGAGTGAGAGGGAGAGCTCCTGTGTCTGAGGCAACCAATGAGTAAGGGCTGCATGACTGACAACTCCCCACCGTGTCCACCCTCCATTATTTGTTCAGGTCTGTCTGCCTCGGTTGTCTGCACTGACTTTTCCATCAATGCATCTAAAAAGGGCCAGAGAGAGGCACCGTGACCAAATCTGTAGGTCCAATATCTGCTCTTTATCCTAACACACAGACAGTAATGTATCCCAATATGCAATCTTCCATGTGAATAGAAAACTAAAAAGACTTGAGACATGGATTACATGAAGTACGGACTGGTACAAAGTCACCATGAAATTGCCCACAAATTAGTCTTCAGTGGCACAGCGGTGAGCCCTCTTCATTTGGATTTTACGCTTGTCAATAAAGTAGATTTTTATCATCAAACTGATCATTTTAGTGTAACCAAATGCCTCTGAAATGCACTCCCTTGCCAGAGTTGTGCCTAATTAGGTCCTAAGAAATAGTGACACTTACCAGTCACAGCCACACAGAAAGTTAGGGGTATAAAGGGTCGGTCAAGAGGGGATTTAAGGGTGTCAACACAAAATAAAAACCAATAAACGATGCAGAAGTTGATGTTGGGTGACAACAAGAAATAACAACAGCGCCCCCAGGAGTTGGAAATGAGACATGCAAATCCTCTCTTCTTTTTTGGTATGTGAGTGAGAGTGTTTTAAAAACCTGCTGAATAAATAAATAAACTCCCACTAAAACACACAGGCACATACCTCTGTGATTCATCAATCCAGCTTTCTTTATTCATCTAAAGAAATGTCAAGGGTGTTGGATTTTCCGTGTCAAGCTGCGTTCAGTTGCTTGTTTCCCCGTGCTTGCAGGGCCTCGAGGCTTTTACCACCACAAGATGGCATCATAGTTCCTTTTATCGGGTCAAAGCAGCTCAGTAAGGCAGCTAGACTGTCCTGACAATGTCACTCCACAAAATAATCCCAGTACAAGTCAACTATGAAACACACATTTTCTGATGAAGATTATCCATTTGTTGGAGTGACGATGGACTCTGGAAACACTGATGTTTAGATTTGTCCATGTCTCAGACTTTTTTACCCACCTAGTACAAAACAGTAAATTGCAGGCAAGTGGACAGTCTCAGAAATACTTGCACCGCAATAAATTTCACAAGTAGTTTGGAGTTTGGTTGAATCTCCTGTGAGGAGTTTTGTAGCTGGTTATAAATCAGATTGAAATCAGCACTGATGTTTATTTCTGGCCTTTAATACTAAACACAACCATCATAGACAATACAGATTATTTCTATATTGTGACAATTCATTGCTAAAACCACTGATGGGGAACAGGCATTTTAGGAAGTAATGAACTACAAGCACTTTCTCACATTTTCCACAGTGATGACTCATGAGGGATACATTTGACTGTTACCAGTAGGCAGGATGGGACTTACTACTTACTGACGTACATTAAAACATCAGCAAAGAAATTAAAATTTTAAATAGCTGCTTAATTTGTTACATTTTATCCACATCACAAGTTTTAATGCACCCTTATTCTGCTCATGCATGTGTCATTAAGGGCAAATTTTCACTGACTACTCTGCATCAGGATCTCTTTATCTAGCCACCTCGGGGGGTTCTGTCTGCTGATTGTTTTTGTGAAAGGCAACAACTCTCTCCCCTCATGGGTCAGTGGGGCTGTATGTTACTGCTCGTTAGTGGAGCAAAGTTTTGTGCTGCTCAGCATCAAGGCCAGAATGAGAAAAATGTGTCCAGTCATGGTTATAATGGTTATTTGGAGCTGGGATAGAGACTTTGACGGAGTAATTATTATCATTATTGACATTGGAGGTTTGGGGGAGTTATTTTCTCTATTCAGGTGTCTTCTCATCAAAGTTTGGTTGATAAGACTGCCTGTAGGTGACTTTTAAACATCTGGAAGGATCCTTAGTTTTGCTTATTTACGGTTGGATAGGGTCCTTCTTCTGAAATGTAAGTGTAAGTAATTGATGCTGATTACAATAACTGTGAGCATTATGTTTCCTGAAGGCATTTCAGAGACTCCAGTTTTAAAAAAGCTCCAAAATTGATTGAAAACAAGGAGGTTCCTCCAGAGAATGCACCAGTCATCAGGTTTTTAGGGAGTATTTCACAACATAGTTCCACAATCTCAGAGTTCACAGACAACATCAGGATGTGCCAACAGCACAGACTCTTGGATACAAATGAGGCAACACAATTTTTAATTCACTTATTCCTCCAGGCTTTCATGAAATAGCTCCAACAGTTATCCCTAAACAACAGCTTGATTATCATACTCATTTACTTTGTGGAACTGCTTCTATTTTCTCTCCTGTAGATGAGCAGCTGGTATAGTGGATCCTCCCTGTGTTCAATGACATGAAATGATGCCAAATGACAGATCACAGATGTTCGCAGCTTTTTCATATACTCTGAATTCACAGTTAAACAGAAACTCCTAGGACAGCTTTAGATGTGTTGTTTGTCTTCATCTTTTTTCCCAGGACATATGATTTCATATCTGTTTGCAGGACATGATAAAGGCAATATTTGCTGATAAGAATATGCAGTCTATTATATGGATAAGCCCAAGTGTGAACAGTGTATAGAATAAAAGGATTACAAACTAGACAACAGATTATAACACTCTTATGAGAAATACTTTCCCTACATGCACTTTGCACAACAGCCCATATAATTACAGTGCAGCCTCTGTCATCGCCATCTCAGCCTTTCTGTTTCCACTAGAAAGGGTGAGGAGAAAATTGTAACTGCTGGTTCATATTGACATTTTGTCTCGAGAAATCAAAGTGCACAAAACAGGAAGTCATTGTGAAACATAACAACACTGACATTCTCAGGAGGTATCGACCTTCAGTATCTGTTATCTAGTGTTTTGTGATGCAGAGGCTGAAAAGGCAAACAAAAACTAAGCTCTTTTCAATGACACGTCATCGCCAAACGATGAAGGGGGGTTTTGGAGATGCTAGCAGAAGTCAGAGCAGAGCCCATTGAATTTCCCTTCGGGGATTAATAAAGTTATTCTTATTCTTACCAGAGAAATAGCAGGACATCAATAGACAGTGGTACTCAGTGACCTTACAAGGTCTTCTGTTTGTTCACATGGGATGGGAAGGACTCGTAAAATTACATCAGGCCTATATTTTAAAAATACAGTACAAAAAAAAACCCTCACAGTCTGGATGTTGCCGTTATTATGCATCTAATGTGTTTATTTAGATATGAAATACCCAGTGATTTAAGGACAGGGTAGAGTGCCTGTTCTGCTTTAATTATGTGCAAACAACTATGACTGCGCCTCAGAGGCTCTTGCAGAGAAGTTGACAGATTGTGGCAGAAAAAAGTTGACACACCACAACAGAGACATGTGTGATACTTCACACCATTTCACATCCCAGTGGTTCACCTCAGACACTGTTTGTGCAACTTTTGTTTTTCTTGTCTTGACTGTCTTGTTCTCATGTTTTGTGTTAAAGTCTTTAAGTACACAAATAAACTTTTAAAAAATGGCAAAGTATTCATGGGACAGAGTGAATCATAATGTATTTTAAATCTTAAAAATCTTTTATTACGTGTTCAGACAGTGATATATCAGAACGAAGATGGGAGACAGATTGATGGATGGATGGACGAAGGACGTGTACTATTCAGACATTTAGAAATAGCTGTTTTGGTCATATTTAATGTGAACTCAATTTTAAGGACCGGTTTATTCAGTATAATATGCTGTACGGAGGTTTCAAGTCGTTCAATGTTACTTGTGCTGTATGATAGTTTGGTGTGTTCCGAGTGATCAACGTTTGAAGTCATTTTTTATCATTTCACTAGGAGTTTCAGTTAAAAAATAAGGCATTTAAAAATGATTTAGCCTTAATACTGGTTAGAATGTGATATGATATCTATACTTCAAATTTAAACTCAGATTTAAATGTCATGTCATCAATCAATTGTCTAATGCAGCTCAGAAAATCTGATTAACTGACAGTCAATATTGTGTAGGGACTGATATTTTTATGCATATAATCATTTGAAAACAACACATTTTGATAATACGTCACACACCCTGCATTACTCGGTAAATGGACTTTGATATCGTAAATGGATGTGAGATGTTTTTCATTCTGTACTGTACTCTTGGGCCCACAGAGGCAGTAATGGCTCCTATTGTGTTTAATGCAGGCAGGTTTCTCACTCAGCAGAGTGATTTGGCTGTTGGTGGATTCTCTCTGCTGATCTCCCGCTGGGTCTATTGAAGCATTCATCACCTTGGCAACTCAGCCTTTTAGTCAAATCACATTACTGCAAGTTTTTCAGCTTGGCTTAAAAGTTTAAATACCTCCATGAAATGCTTTTGAGCAAACCACAGTAAGTGTAGTGGGATTTATCCATTGTTTTCCAAAGCGTCTTGAGTATTATCCCCAGACACAGAGTCAGCAAATTAAACCTCTGCAGCATTTGTATGCATTCACCTCATGTGCAAACGTGGAAACGATTCACAGAGTGTTTCTTGACCCCTCCATCTTAGAGGTTGAGCCCGCGCTGCACTGCTCCGGACGTAGGGGGAGCTGAGGATGGAAACCCTGGGCATGGTGTTCATGACTGAGCATGTGTTTCCTTAGAATTAGTCATGGGGGCTTTTCCCCCGAAGAGAAGTTATTTTTAACAACAAAAGCTTTAATGACGAGCGCAAGTAGACAATAACAATTGGAAGGAAGTGTTTCACTTTGAGCTCAGAGCAGATGTAAGGTTAATGTTTGACGCTCCAGTACAGGACATGCTGATATAACTAGTCTGATGATAAAGTCTATTTTATTTTATGTGCTAATTATTCATTGTGATCAGTTAACCCATTGCTAATGTTGCATTTCAAACCCTTTACCTTTTGTTTGCTTTTTTCAGGTTTTAAGGATTGCAAAATCCCCAGTAGATTTGAATATGTCCCAAATCTCTTGTACTTGTGAAAAAACATTTAAAAATCCACCATCAGGAAATAAAGAGATGCATGGCGGCCAGTGTGATTCTCTCAACACCATTTGCAGTTCCTTTGGAAACAGTAACATGGAAGTCGTAATAAAATGTCAGGGCATAAGTGAGGAAATACCTTTGGATCAAAAAATACTTTCAACTTTGCAGGGGTAACAAAGGAATCCCCAGAATTCTCGATGTCATCTGCGTGGC